ATTGTTTCACAGAGTTACATCTTTAGGAAAACTGACTTAAGGGCCGTTGAGTAGGGCTGTCCGGTTATAGGTCCCTTTAGTCGGACTATAGAATGTTCTTTTGTTTTTGGGAATGTGGTTAAAAAAAAAAAAAAAATCAGCCCTTAAAAGATAAAAGTCCTCCCAACTATTGCCATCACCTTTTAGATTGCCCTGTGCCTGCAAAGGGCGTGAGGGGAATGCTAGGCTGGGAGAAAGGAAAAAGTGGCTACAGTGTAGCAGGTGTGCTTTGGGCCCGACTGCAAAAGGAGCTCTGGGCTGGCCCTCAGGCAAGTGTGTGTTGTAAAGTGCCAGATGAATGGCTTAAAGCTCCTTTGCTACAAGGACATTTCAAAGGAAAGGGGTAAATAAATGGTGGCTGTTGAGGTAGTTTCTCTGGGAAGGGGACTCCCTCTTCCAAACTTCAAAGCTGTGCCAAACTCTGTTTATGAGGGAATAGCTACATGAACTGGGGCATGGAGGGCAGTAGCTGGTAATAGATGTTTACATTTCATTTCAAACCTAACGGAATCTTCTATTTTAGACCCTCCCTCCAGTTGGTAGATCGTTTCTCCTTCGATGTTCTGATTTCTAAAAGACTTAACTGTTCTCTGACCTCTGTGACCTGCCCCTACAGTTTCGCCCAGCTCAGGCTCTAGGATGTAGGGTTTAAATGGTCCATAAGCCTGCCTGTCTTGTCCGGCTGACATCTGCTAAAGCCTGTTTCACTTGTGTTAGCTCTCTGGCTGCTAAGTTTAAGTTGCAGATTTTTGACTTGATGGATTTGGGGGGCCTTTTGGGCTTCAGAGGATTTTTAGTCACTGGTGTTTCTAGATTAATTTTTGGTAATCTTTATTATCATTACTGTTTCATAATGGTTGGTTTCATGGTTTCACTTGGCCCCAGAAACATAGGTTTGGTTTTTCTGCCTTTTCTGTTAGGTTTGACTATGAACTCTTTCTGGCTCATGCAAGAATGGAATCCTGTTGCAAAGGGTAAAGACTTTTCAGGATTTCCTGAAGATCAGGACAAGTTCTCAGGAGTCCAATGAATAGCCATTCCAATTCTTTAAAGAGGACATCTTAATCATTTTTGAAAAGTCTATTCCCTCCCCCATCCCCCACCCCTGCAGTGACCATTTCCTCCTGAATGTGTGACTGTGTTCATGAAGACTTATAAGTTGAGTTTTTAACAGGTCGGAGGGGAAGAGGGTTGCACCTTTGTGATTAGAATAGTGGAGGGTATGTGCCAAGCTGACTAGTTGGTGACGTTGTGTACTCACACTACCGAAGAAAGGCGAATCCAAAATGTAGATGGATTGATGTTTGCAGTACAGGGAAGGAAAAAAGAAAGGTGTAGAAAAGACAAAAAAATTTAATGTGCCCTGCTAGGAAGTGTTTTCGTTCCTTTCGGGTTGATGTTTTTACAGTTTTAACAGCCAATTAGCTGGAGAGTTGTTTGCACCATTCATTCACCATCCACTGGATGTTGAATGTGAAGGGAACCTCAGTTTTCCAAGGGGTTACTGTTTCGTAAATTACACTATCACCGTCAGGCATAGGATACAGCTCTCTGGTCAGATTCCTCCATCAGCCTGGAGGTTCCTTGTGGGTTTGCCCCAGCCTGGGGCTCCTGGATCCTGCTACCTCTGAACTCCTTCCCCTTTTTGACCAGTGAGCCAGTGAAACACACAGCGAACTTGGGGAATCATTTCTGAGTTCTTCCACAGAATTCCACTTTCTGGGCTGTAGGAGTAGACAAATGATTCTCAAGATGGGAGATAGACACTCTCCCGAAAAGGGAAGCTTTGCCAGTTGTGTTTTCGTTCCCCGAAACCTATGACCTGCAGTCAGAAGCTGACTTCTAAATTATGGTTAACATTCAGCTCAGCGCACCTTGATAATAATCCTCATTTAGAAGAGCCTACTGCGTGCCATTCTTGTCTAAGCCCTTGGCAACTCTGATGTGCATATGTGTAAAAGTGGCTTGACTTGTCTCTGATTATGAAGTGAAGGCATGTGCCCCACCGAACCGAGTTGCCTTTGCTTATGTTGGTGTCATTCGGTTTCCCATTGCAGGATTGCCCGCAGCCTGCCATTATCACTTTTTCCACTCCATCGTGAGGGAGGTGGTCAGAGCAAAGTGGACCGGGCATAGTTTCTCTCAGTGAAAGCACTAGAAGGCACCTATTCCAAGTCGGCAAATCACCCACCTTCAGTATTTGCCCCCTACTCCCTTGCAGCCCCTTGGACCGGGCTCCTTTCAGTGAAGTCTTGGCACAGTGCTAGTCAGCACAGGATACTAGGATTCCTTACGCAGGAATGGCAAGCCGTTCCCAGGGCAGTTAGTGCCCACTGGTTGGCTTTCCTGAAGTCAGGGCTATTTCCTGGGGTTTCATTGTGTCTCCTGTTTAGATGGGTTCTTTAGGACAAGGGAAGAACGGTGGCTCTGGCTGAAACAGAAAACTCCACTCTGGCTGAGCGGCGGTGGCCTGAGAGATGTTTGGTTTATTCATCTGTCATTTGTAATTTGGCAAGCTTTGGATGAGGCTTTACGATCTTATAGTGACTCTAGATAAGGCCAAGCCTCCGTGGGGGCCACAGGCTGGGGACTAGCCCATTTTACACCAATGATCTAAGACGAAGAGAAAGTTAGGGGCGGGAACCCGGTGGTGGCGGGGCTCCGAGGAAGGGGGCTGACCCAGCCGGGAGCGGGCGGGACGCCCTGGCGGCGTCCCGCGGCCGGCAGGCGGCGCTATCGTCCCCCGGCCGGCCCTTAGGGCAGCTAGAGAGCCCCGGCCCGAGAAATGTCCCTCCTGCCCTTCTACCGCCGGACGGGGGTCGGCGGCCTCAGAAAAGGGGCGCGGGGCCCCAGAGCCCGCGGAACGCCGCAGCCGGCGAGGCGCGGGGGCCTGCGGCTGAGTGGGGTCCCCGGCGCCGGCCCCTCGCGGCCGAGAGGCGGCGCTGCTCCCAGGTCCCGCGAGGGCCAGCGGACCTCGGGAGGGGGCGCCCGATCCCGCGGCTCCGGCTCCGCTTCCCGGGAAGTTTCAAGTTTGAAAGTCCCGGCGGAGGGGCCGGGGCTTCCGGAACCGCAGTGGTCGAGAGGAGGGGCGGAGCGGCCCGAGCGGAGCCATGGAGGAGGGGGCGCCGCGGCAGGTGAACGGCGCCCGGAGAGGCCGGGCTGCGGGCGCGGGCCAAGGGGGTCGGGGAGTCTCATTTACGCCGCGGGCGCCGCGAGCTCCGGTCGCGT